TGCGACAATAATTCGAAAGAAGATTCATTAATGTCGATGCACCGATACATTTATTTGATGACTTTAGCAAATGTTCATCACAAGCTTTTAATGATGCTTTAACATGACCCTAGATAATAAAAAAAAAACAACAAATTCAAAAAATTGTTTTTGATTAAATATCAATTCATACTAATCGATCACGTTGATTTTGAGTTGATGAACGAAAAGCAATTGTTGGAAATTCATTACGTAAATATTTTAACCATTTATCGAGATTATCACGTGGAATAAGATCTAATAAAATAAACATAAACTCTTAATTGAATTTAAAACAATTCATACCGATTTTATTGAGTAATAAGATGAGTTTTTTATTTTTTCCTGATGTTAAAACAGCTTGTTCAACTTGTGGACATCGACATCCAAGAGGATCACGAGCATCAAGTACTTGAATGATGATATCTGATGCATCAACAACCTTTTTAAATTCTCGATAATATGTTTTTCGAGATCTTTCATCTCCTTCACCAACTTCAGTTGATAAATGCATTTGATCATTCTAAATAAATAGACAATAATTAACTACGCATCAAGGTAAATAAAATTTACTGGCAAAATTTGTTCATGATCAAATACATCTTGTCGTCGTTCAACATCATTTATCATCGATTCTAAAGATTTAGGCCGTTCAGCTTTTTGTTGTTGACGAGCTAAAGCACGTTGTTGTTTCTTTAATTGTCGTTCTTGTTCTAACTAAAAACAAGGTAGAATAAGAATGATTTTCGATGATTAATTTTTTCTCAAACAAACTTGTTTTTTAGCTTCTTCAGCTTGTTGTAATAATTCGTTTTTAAATGGAGCTAGTTTTGGTATTTTTATATCTTTTGACTTTTTTTCTAATTATTTAAAATTAAAAAATTAATATAAAGAATTCAGAATATTTAGCTAATAATTACTTTTATGCTCAGGATGTTTTCGTGCTTCTTTACGCATCTTTTTATTATGAGCACGAACTTTCTTGGCTATACTATATCGATGTGCACAGGAGACTCGTTTACTTTTTTTGTCTAAATATTTAAAAAAAAAGATATAAATTTAAAGAACAAGATTCATACGCACTTATTTTAACCATATTGCCAACTACAGATAATCTAAAAAAAGTTAGAATTAAAAATGAACCTTGTAGAAATAGAAATAAATAGAAAGCATATATTTAATACAGTAATGATTAAGTACGAAATTTTCGATCCAGATGATTAGAGAACAATGAAGACCAATTGAATTGGTCAGATACGATGAATACAGTTTCTAGTGACCTCTAGTAATTGGATAGAGTTAAATTTTCGAAAATTTAGGAAATTAGTCTTAGTAATGTTCTCTTCAATCGAAAATTAAAAAATCAATACGGATTCGTCCAATTTTAATTTTAATAAAATGTTTAATTAATACATATAATTGATAATTGTAGTGACTTTAGTTGTAGTAACATATAAAGAAGGTATAAGTATCATATCTTTGTTTGCTTATTAAATTTCACGTCAAGAAAATATTCAAAGCTTAGAATAAGTATGATGGCTTGTGTTTCTAATCAATACTTGTTAATGTGGACCTTTTTTTTTTATTGAAACATAGACATCTATTCAGGAATTTTTAAGAGACCAAAATCACCATCAGAAAAAAATAATCTTTGGCTTGTGAACATTTTCTTCAGATATTTTCATCTAGCAGGAGGAAAAGCGCTTCACTCTTAAATAGTCTTTTGGATAGCTTCTTGAAAAAATTGAATTATACAGGGTGTCCCAAAAAAAAACTTACCCCCTCTTTGAAATTTAATTTCTGCACTTACACTACTGAGTTTGGAGCTAACTTCTATTGTAATAGATAGAGCTAAGAAAATGCTACAAGACAGAAATGCTTTTATTTTGAAGTGACTCTATTGTAGGTA